AGGGTGGATCACAACGTCACCACACTCCGAGCACAAGTAAAGGCCACAAGGCCAGTTCACATGCAGTGCTAGATATAGTACAAGACAAGCAACACAGTGATCAAAACCTAGCAAGCAAGCAACAAGATATATATAAAGTACAGTACAAAGAATGTCAAGCAGTGAGCAAGTGAGGAAACGTGGACACAAGGCCTAAAGAAGTACAGTGCCGCTGATGATCACTAGGCGGGAGCGCCTTGGTGAAGATATCAGCAGTGTTGGCCTTCGAGTCCACGTACACAAGCCGAAGCTGACCGCGCTGCTGAAGCTCTCGAGCAAGAAAGTAGCGAAGAGCAATGTGCTTCGTCCTGTGCTCCAGTCTGTGCTCCTGACACAAGGCAAGAGCCGCCTTGTTGTCACCGTACAGAACTGGAGGAGAACTAGGCCGCTCTCCCAAGTCAGTCAGCAGGTAGGTGAGCCAGCGTAACTTCTGTGCAGCCATGGCTGTGGCGTAGATCTCAGCCTCACAACTAGAGCCGAGAACAGAGGAAGAGCGGGTGGACCGCCACGAGACAGAACCAGAGCCAAGGCTGAAGGTGTAACCCTGTGACGACCGCTGCGTAGCCAGGTCGTCCACCCAAGAAGCGTCCGAGTGACCAGTGAGGACAACTCTGTCACGTCCTCCAAGCACCAGCCCCATGCCTGATGTACTGCACAGGTAACGCAGCACCCTCTTAGCAGCCTCCCAGTGCTCTCGCCTGTGTCTCCCAGGCGCAACGTAGCGAGCAAGGATGCTAAGAGGGTACGCGAGGTCAGGTCGCGTGCAAGTCATCAGGTACATGAGGCAGCCTACAAGCTCTGGGTACGGGCCACTCGGCTCTACGGACTCGTCCGAAGGTGGAGCTGAGAGCGAGTGGCTGGTAGCCAGAGGTGTGGCCTGTGGTGAGGAGAACTGGAAGCCGAAGCGCTGAAGGACCTGCTGCACCATGTGTGACTGAGTCAGGGTGATGGTGCGGCGAGCTCTGTCCCGGGTGATCTGCAAGCCAAGGTAGCTACGCAGTTCACCCAGGTCAGTGCAGGTGTGTCTCTTCTGCAGCTCCGACTTCACACGAGCGAGTGCCTCAGTGTCAGAAGTAGCAAAGACCAAGTCGTCGACGTACACGAGAATGTAGAACGGCGGCAGCGACGTGTCTGTGCGCAGAAACAGCGACGGGTCAGCAGTAGACGGCGCGAACCCAAGAGCCGCAAGTGTAGTCCTCAGTGTGTCGTGCCACTCACGTGGCGCCTGGCGGAGACCGTAGACTGGCCGGCGGAGACTCCACTGGGTACCAGGGGGAAACGACCCAGTAAAGCCAGGTGGGCGGCGCAGCCAGATCTCCTCGTGCAGGCTGCCCTGCAGGAACGCTGTGCTGAAGTCAAGAGAGTGAAGCTCGTAGTCACGCTGAGCAGCAACGTGCAGCAGAACCCGAAGAGTGGTCATCTTCGGGGTGGGGGAGAAGGTCTGGAAGAAGTCGACCCCCTGACGCTGACTGAAGCCTCTAGCAACGTAACGAGCCTTGAAGACAGGCGGAGAACCTGGCGGCCGCTTCACCCTGAAAATCCACATGCCATCGACGATGTTCGCCCCAGGAGGGGGAACGTCGTCGACGTAGGTGCCTGTGGACTTCCAGGATGCCATCTCTGCGTCCATGGCTGTCTGCCACTGAGAGGAGTAGGGACCCGAGATCGCCTCTGCGTAAGTGCGCGGAGTGGGGATGTCTAGTGCATCCGGGTCTCCCTCAGGGGCAAGCAACCAGGCCACGAGATGAGGTACAGCAGCCGCAAGAGAGTCAAAGTCCTCCTGCCTGTCCTCAAGAACGTCCGTGCCAAGAGCACACTCACCCCCGACGGACGGAGGACAGACAGACGCAGACTCTGACTCAGCAACAAGGCTAGCAGCGTAGTCTAGACGACAGGCAGCAGCAAAGTCAACCAACTCAGCGACCAGAGCAGACGCAGCCGAGGACTCAAAGGTAGGGTCAGTGACAACAGTAGCGAGGAGACGCGTGACTGTAGGGTGCTCAGCGCGATACCGGTCAGACTCAGGGTCCGGAACGGCAGGCAAAGAGGACGCAGGAGGAGACGGTAGAGGGACACGCCGAGGAGCAGTAGAGGGACGCAGAGTCATGTAGTGAGTGCCTGGGACAGGAGGAGGACGCTCACGACGGACACGACTACCAGTGCGAGCAGGACGAACAGGCGACACAGGACGAGACTCAGGCTCACGACGCTCTGTAAGACCTCCTGTGGGACCAGCGTAAGGAGAGGGAGCAGGGAGAGGCGAGGCAGGCGGTAACTGTGACTGCGGCTGGACAGGCGGAGGACACTCTATGGAGGGAGGAGGACAAGGAGGAGGAGCCTGCCCAAGAACCTGCTGAAGGAGCGGTACGAAGTACGGTCGCGGCCGTGCAGCGTCTCCAGAAGCAGAAGAGACTCCAGCGGCCGGGTCCTCAGGACCAGCAGGAGCTCCAACGTCCGGGTCCCCAGCACCAGCAGCAGCGCCACCGCTCGGGTCCTCAGCTCCAGCAGCAGCTCCACCAGGCGGGTCCGCAGCACCAGCAGCAGCGCCACCCCCAGAGTCGGCAGCTCCAACTCCGCTAGCACCGCCAGCGCCAGAGTCCCCAGCTCCAGCAGCTCCAGTCGCAGTGCTCCCAGAACAACCAGTCCCGGCAGCTCCAGTACCCCCAGTACGAGCACCCCCAGGACGAGCAGCCCCAGCACCCCCAACTCCAGCCGAGCCACTAGGACGGCGAAAGCGCCGGACGTACCAGTCACGAAGCTGCTGCGGTGTGAGAGACTGCTCAGCACCCCGAACCGGAGCACCCCCAGACGCAGTAACCCGAGGCTCCGTAGGCTCAGTAGCAGCACCCCCAGGCTCAGTACCCGCAGGCTCAGTACCCGCAGGCTCAGCACCCCCAGTCGCAGCACCCCCAGGCTCAGCACCCCCAGGCGGCAAACTCTCAGGCACAGTACCCTCAGCTCCAGCACCCGTAGTCCCAGCACTCCCAGGCCCCGCACCCGCAGGCTCAGCACCCCCAGGCTCAGCACCCCCAGGCTCCGTACTCTCAGGCACCGTACCCTCAGCTCCAGCACCCTCAGTCCCAGCACCTGCAGCCCCAGCACCCCCAGGCCCAGCACCCCCAGGCTCAGCACCCCCAGGCTCAGCACTCCCAGCAGCACCACCCGCAGCAGCACCTGAGTCACCTGTGAACTCGACAGGCTCAGCGACGGGAGGAGGGTCTACCTGAGAGACACCTGAAGGAGCAGGACCCTGAGGGGGAAGGGGGTCTACCGGAGGGGGACCAGGAGCAAGGAAAAGCGGCGGGGGAGGGAGGGGGGCAGTGCGGTAGGGGAAGAGACGGTAAAAAGGGACCGACTCGTCAAAGGTGACATCCTGAGAGGCGAAGACCCGGCGCGAGGTGGGGTGGTAAAACTGCCAGCCAGGCGCGTCAGGGACAAAGCCAAGGAAGACACAGGGAAGCGTGCGGGAGGAGAGCTTGTCCGCGGACGTATCGCGGACAAGGGCACGAGCACCCCACACCCGGAAGCGCGACGCATCGCCAACCTCCCACGTCCAACGCAGTATGGGCGAGGTCTCCGGCAAGGAGACACGGGGCCAGAGGTTGAGCTGATGCGCGGCGTACCGGACAGCAAACGGCCACAGAAAATGGGGAGCCGCCGCGTGGACCAAGGAGGTACGAGCGACCTCCATGACCAGGCCAATGCGGCGCTCAGCAACCCCATTCTGCTGTGGGGAGTCCGGAAGCGTGAAGGTCTGCTCGATGCCCTCCGCCTGACAGAAGGTCCTCAAGAGATCGGAGGAAAACTCACCACCTCTGTCAGAGTGCAGACGCAGGACAGGAAGATCCGTCCGAAAACGGCGGCGGAGCTGGAGACGAACCGTGCGGATCCAAGGGATCAGAACAGCAGGGACCTCACCCTTGGTGCGCAAGGGGAAGACCGTGGTGTAACGCGAGTAGTCGTCGACAACCAGCAAAAAGTACCGCTCACCGCCCTGACCACGAACGCGGGCTGGGCCCCACACGTCCAGGTGGAGGGTCTGCAGAGGAGCCTCTGTCGGGGGGAACGAGGAGGAGTGAGGAGCGGCGCGCTGCCGCCCCTCGACGCAAGGAAGGCAAGGCGGCGCAGGCGAGGCAGGGAGGGGAGGGAGGGACCTGGGAAGACCAGACACAAGGTGGCGACGGTGCATGCCACGAAGGCGTGGCAAGGAGGGGTGACCCAGGCGGTGGTGCCAGAGAAGAGTCTGGTGCGACAGGGAACGACACTCACAGGCGTGGGCTACCAGACCTGACGCAGACACCTGACCGACAGCAGCGACCTGAGGAGACGCAGTGGTCAGTGTGTAGAGACTCGACCCCGGCCGACGGGTAAACGTAGCCAGGTGACGGCCGGTCCTGGAGCACGTGCAGATCGCCACACGCTGTCCGCCAGGGGTAAAGGTGTCAACCCACTGATCCTGGAGGACAGCGTTGCTCACCAGGTTCGTCGAGAACGAGGGGAGGTGGAAACCCGACAACGAGCCAGACGGAACCGCCGGACAAGGGAGGACAGTGGTGGACTGGGCAAGGACTGGGCCCCCAGAGGGGTCAGCCAAGGAGACTGGGACCGGTGCAGGAAGCGGTGTGAGCTCAGTACTGTCACGAAAGAAGCAACGGGAAGCACCTGAGTCAAGGGTGAAGGTGTGACAGGCCTCAGCCGGTGCGGTACCTGAGAGAGCAGTCTCTGTGGGTGCTGTACCTGAGAGAGCAGACTCGAAACCAGCCAGGACAGCACTGGGGGGAGCAAGTACAGGGGGCACCATACCAGAGAGAGCAGACTCACTAGTACCCAGGGCAGCGGGCTCTATACCTGGGTCAGGCGGCACACACAAGTAACAGTCTCCCTCGGCACTAACAGTCAATGCATACATGGCAGCAATAATAGCATCATAGTCAAGAGCAAAGACATCAACACCAGCCCTCATGAGCTCAGCCCAGCGGGGGCGCTCAACATCCGCGCCCATCTCCTCACGCCAAGCGTCGTCAAGGCGGGAGAAGCAGCGGTACGGGGTGTGGAACCTCCCACACGTCTGTCCCTTGCGGTCACCTGTGCGAATGACATAAGAACAGCGGCCACTGCCCCCCGACGTCCCACGCTGAGCAAGCCACTCACGAAGCTGCTGGGTCGTCTGGGGACGCTGCTGCTGCTGGGAGCTCTGGCCCGAGCCAGTGCCTCCACTCCGACCGCCGCCGCCACCACTACCACCGCTCCGACCGCCACCGCCACCGCCACCACCGCCACCACCGCCACCGCCGCCACCGCCGCCGCCGCCACTACTGCCACTGCTTCCGCCGCCGCCCCCGCCTCCACCACCGACCCCACTCCCACCAGCGCTCCCGCCACCGCTCCCTCCAGCACCGCCTCCCCCCCCACCTCCCCCACCTCCTCCCCCCCCAGCGCCACCACCACCACCCTTGCCCCCCTTGCCCTTGCCGGTGCGGCGCCTCCCACCAGGAGCAGAAGCAGCGCCAACAGACTCAGCACCAAGGAAGTCAACAGCAGCAGCAGCAGCGTAGGAGGGAGCGAGGGGAGAGGGAGAACACCCCTCAAAGATGGGGGTGCGAGGAGCGCCACGAGCAGCACCAACAGCTACAATGCTCTTTTCGGCCGCGAGCAGCTGCTCCTCTAGGAGGGCGACTGTGAGCTCAGTGGGACAGCGAGCAAGGAAGTGGTCTCGAACTGAGCGGAGGGTGTCAGGGAGACGGGTGACTATGAAGTGGAGTGTCCAGTACAGTGGAGGGGGGTTCTTAGCGCAGAACTCGGTGGGAAGGGCGGCACGCAGGCGAGCATCACTAGTGCGAAGGTGGGTGATAAGATCGGCGACTGTAGTAAAGGTGGACAGATCGGGGAACAGGTACGGCAGCATGAGGCGGCTAAGCTCGGCTGTGGCAGGCGAGGAGTAGCGAGCAACGACAGCATCGTACAGGGCCTTAGCGGATTTGCAGTCGCCAAAATGTTCGAGCTCAGCTAGCGGCAGGTGACTGCGAATGGTGTTGGGTGCAAATGCACATTGCACGACATCCTGCCGTCTGTTTGTACGAGTATGCGTGTGCGAATGCATTTGTGTGTGAATGGTGTGTTCGTGTGTTTGTTTGCTTTCGCATTTTTCGCTTGATGCATTTGCAGGTACTCGCGCAATGTGCGCTTCGGCACAACATTGTACGCGCTATGAACAGTGCAAGCAGAAAGGACGAGCTCGCAAAGGAACCCAAGATGGAAGCTTTGCAGTTCGGTTGAGTTGATTGCGCAGATTCAGTTCTATCCAACTCGAAATTGTACTGCTTTGTTTGGTTAACTATAGTGTAGCAGGGAAGGCACTATAGGGGTACAATTTAGGTGAAGGTTGGATGTTGTTTGTCTGTATCTGCATGCTACAAGGCCAGGGGAAACCAGCGGAACCAGCATTTGGCTGGTTGGGCAAAGACAAAACAGGTTCTGTTTTTAGAACCTGAACCTGATTGTTGTTTTCCCAGGTTGGAAAAACAGAACCAGAGGTTGTTTACCAACCTACCACCTGCTATTTTGTCCAGCCAGGTTGGTTCTGTTGCTTGGAATTATTTGGGATCATCCTTGGTTGTTCCCAGGTTGATTCCCAAGGTCCTTGCTAGCTAGAACTATTTAATCCTTCTCTGTTTGTACCTGAATATAGTCAAATTGATTCAAGCGAATTCCTTCCTCGCTGGAATTTCGTTTCTGCGCTATTCGACGGCGGAATGCTACCCGAGTCAACGCTAGTATGCTAGCACTCCAACGCTAGGCAAACGCTGTCCGAGCCATAACTTCGTAATGGCAGAACTTTTCACGAGGCAACTTGGCTCATTTTAAAGCTCTTGGAGCGAGCTTCGATATAGCGAATTCTCAGCTTAATCCGACCGACGGTCTGCACGGCACGCTGCACGACGTTCAAGGTACTCTTGCTGTTTTGACTAAGTCCTTCTTGATCCCTCTCTCTACAAACTCGGACCCGAGGATTGGGGCATGTGGCAATGCCTTTGCTGAAGCAGCTGGAGAAGGATGGAGCCGTTAAGGGTCTGAAGCTGAACGGACAGCCACCCGATGACAACTGTGAAATCTGTTTGCTTTCAAAGTTCACCCGTTTCCCTTTCCATAGTGTGGCTGGCAGGAGCAAGAAGCCTTTGGAGCTGGTCCACATGGACTTGGTGGGGCCGCTGCCGGTGCAAGGGCACAAGGGGGAGCGGTATTTTCTTACAATTGTGGATGACTGGAGCAGGCTGATGTGGGCGTATCCGCTGAAGCAGAAGGACCACGCCGCCTCCACGATACGGGACGATTGGCTGCCATTCGTGGAGAAGCAGGCGGAGTGTGTAGTGAAGCGGATTAGGACAGACCGGGGTGGTGAGTTCCTTGGAGCTGAAATGACGGCCTGGCTCAAGAAGCAGGGCATCCAGAGAGAGCTGACCACGGCTTATACCCCACAGTCCAATGGTGTAGCAGAACGGGCAAACCGGACCATTCTGGAGACAGCTAAGGCGCTGCTCATAGAATCTGGGCTGAGCAATTCTATGTGGCCTCATGCTGTCCGGCACGCCACTGTCGCTAGGAACAGGGTGCTCACCAAGGTTGGGGATGACTCGTGGGTGCCATTGGAGAGGTGGCTTGGGAGGAAGCCGCCGGTGGATATGCTGAGGGTGTTTGGCTGCATGGCAGTCGCCCACGTCCCCAAGCCCTACCGCAGTAAGTTGGGGGCGAGTGCAATCTGGTGTGTGCATTTGGGGCTGGCTGCTGAGAGCAAGGGATGGCTGCTGTGGGAACCATCCAAGGGTGTGTTGTTTGACAGCAGGGATGTGAAATTCATTGAGGGCATGATGTATGGGAGCTGGGAGAAACAGCCGGAGGCAAGGGTGTCCCAGCAGATGGAGCAGATCACCATGCAGCTGGACCTGACTCCTAGTGTGTGGGAGGAGGGAGAGGAGGCAGCTGCTGGAAATGGTGATGGAGAGAAGGTACAGGAGGCATCTGCTGGTGGAGAAAATGGTGTGGAAACTGGCGGCAGCACTAGTGGAGCTGCTGGACCCGAGGGAGGAGAGAAGCAGCAGGGAAAAACTAAGAAGCCGAAGGGTGTCGTTATGAAGGGATGGGAGACACCCGTCTCCAGGCCAGGACGTACCCGTATGGCTACTAAGAAGCTGACTGCAGGAACTGATGCAGCAGAGCAGCAGCTAGGGACCGAAGAGGCATTGCTGATTCTACCTCATGGCTATGACCCGGATGAGGAGGATGAGCCTGCGTACTGTTTTCTTGCCCCTGCACCAGAGGAACCAGCTAGCATGGAGGAGGCATTAGCTGGACCAGATAGGGACAAGTGGCTGGCTTCTAGGGATGCTGAGTACCAGAGTCTGCTGGAGAATAGGACATGGGATCTGGTGGTGCTGCCTGATGGGAAGAAAGCGATACAATGCAAGTGGGTGCTGAGGATCAAGACCGATGACAAGGGGCAGGTCACCATCTACAAGAGTAGGCTGGTGGCGAAGGGGTTTATGCAGAAGGAGAAGCAGGACTTCAACGAGATCTTTGCTCCCACTGCCAAACCCCCTACCCTCCGTGTCTTGTTGGCAGATGCAGCTGTTAGTGGAAAATTCATCATTCAGATGGATATTTCAACGGCATTCCTGAATGGGATTTTAGAGGAGGATGTGTACATGACGCAGCCGCCTGGGTATGAGGATGGTACGGGCAGGGTGTGCAAGCTCAACAAGTCCATCTACGGCTTGAAGCAGGCGCCACGCTGCTGGTACCAGAAGTTGGCAGCTGTTTTAGAGGAGATGGGATTCAGGACCAGCAGCTGTGATGAGAGCCTCTTTCTCAAGGGCGAGGGGGAGAAGCTGGTGCTGTTTCTGGTCTATGTGGACGACATTCTTCTCTTCAGCAGCAGCATGAAGGAGATCCAGAAAGTGCAGCAGCAACTGATGGAAAACTTCAAGTGCAAGAACCTTGGGGAGGTAAAGTACTACCTCGGGATGCACGTGGAGAGGGATCCAGATCACAGGTGGTTGAAGCTGCACCAGGAGAAGTTCATCAAGGAGCTGGGGGAGAAGTATGGGATTGAGAATGAGCGCAAGGTTGCAACTCCCCTGCCAGCAGAATTCAAGCTTGTGAAGGCTGCAGAGGATGAAGGGGTTGAAGCTGAAGAGCAGCAGCAATTTCAGTCCTTGGTGGGCAGCCTCTTGTACGCAGCAGTTCACACGAGGCCCGATATCTCTTTCTCGGTTGGGCAGCTGGCTAGGGTGGTGCAGAATCCATCAGAGGAGCAGGTGGATGCAGCTGAGCGTGTGGTGAAGTACCTGAACTCTCACCCAAGCATTGGAGTTCAATACTCCGCATCTGCACAGGTGAAGCAGAAAGGGGTGGAGGTGCTGAAAGAGAAGGGGGAGAGGCTTGGAGAAGGCAAGCTATTTCTCACTTGCTTTACCGATGCTACGTGGGCTTCTGAGAAGGAGGATTCCTCATCTGTGGGAGGATATATCTGCTTAGTTGGGGGAGGACCTGTTAGTTGGAGGTCCAAGAAGCAGACGGAGACGGCACTCTCTTCCGTAGAATCAGAGTACATGGCGATGTTCCATGGGGTGAAGGAGGTGATTTGGCTGAGGAGGCTGTTAGAGGAGATTGGCCAGGAGCAGAAAGTTGCTACGCCGCTGTTTTGTGATAGCAAGGGGGCTCTTGGGATGGCCAGAAACGCTGTGCTTCATGGGCTGAACAAGCACATGCGTATCAAGTGGCACTGGCTGCGTAAGGAGGTGAAGAGGGGGACGGTGCATCCGATCTACATCAAGACTCACCAGCAGCCAGCAGACTTTCTCACCAAGAGGCTTGCGGATGAGCCTCATTGGCGTTGTGTGCGCATGAGTGGAATGAGCATGAACTAGCATGGAATGACGGGGATGCAGCCGGCAGGCTGAGGGGGAGTGTGTTGGGTGCAAATTTACATTGCACGACATCCTGCCGTCTGTTTGTACGAATATGCGTGTGCGAATGCATTTGCATGTGAATGGTGTGTTCGTGTGTTTGTTTGCTTTCGCATTTTTTGCTTGATGCATTTGCAGGTACTCGCGCAATGTGCGCTTCGGCACAACATTGTATGCGCTATGAACAGTGCAAGCAGAAAGGACGAGCTCGCAAAGGAACCCAAGATGGAAGCTTTGCAGTTCGGTTGAGTTGATTGCGCAGATTCAGTTCTATCCAACTCGAAATTGTACTGTTTTGTTTGGTTAACTATAGTGTAGCAGGGAAGGCACTATAGGGGTACAATTTAGGTGAAGGTTGGATGTTGTTTGTCTGTATCTGCATGCTACAAGGCCAGGGGAAACCAGCGGAACCAGCATTTGGCTGGTTGGGCAAAGACAAAACAGGTTCTGTTTTTAGAACCTGAACCTGGTTGTTGTTTTCCCAGGTTGGAAAAACAGAACCAGAGGTTGTTTACCAACCTACCACCTGCTATTTTGTCCAGCCAGGTTGGTTCTGTTGCTTGGAATTATTTGGGATCATCCCTGGTTGTTCCCAGGTTGATTCCCAAGGTCCTTGCTAGCTAGAACTATTTAATCCTTCTCTGTTTGTACCTGAATATAGTAAAATTGATTCATGCGAATTCCTTCCTCGCTGGAATTTCGTTTCTACGCGGTTCATTGGCGGAATGCTACCCGAGTCAACGCTAGTACGCTAGCACTCTAATGCTAGGCAAACACCGTCTGAGCCATAACTTTGTAATGGCAGAACTTTTCGCGAGGCAACTTGGCTCATTTTAAAGCTCTTGGAGCGAGCTTCGATATAGCGAATTCTCAGCTTAATCCGATCGACGGTCTGCACGGCACGCTGCGCGACGTTCAAGGTACTCTTGCTGTTTTGACTAAGTCCTTCTTGATCCCTCTCTCTACAAACTCGGACCCGA